AATTTATATGAAAGGTGCAGAACAGGCAAACCCATGGATACAGAAAGTAGATTAGTGGTTTCCTAGGGCTGAAGGCGGGAAAGGAAATAGGGCTGAGTGCTGAAGGGTATGGGTTTCTCTTGGGGATAATAAAAATGCTCTAAAATGGATTGTGGTGAAGGTTTCATAATTCTGTGAATATATTAAAACCACGGAATTCTTTTTTTTTTTTTGAGATGGAGTCTTGCTCTGTTGCCCAGGCTGGAGTGCAGTGGCGCAATCTCAGCTCACTGCAACCTCCACCTCCCAGGTTCAAGCGATGCTTCCGCTTCAGCCTCCAAAGTAGCTGGGACTACAGGTGCATGCTACCACACCCAGCTAATTTTTGCATTTTTAGTAGAGATGGGGTTTCACCATGTTAGCCTGGATGGTCTACATCTCTTCACCTGGTGATCTGCCCACCTCAGCCTCCCAAAGTGCTGGGAAAACTGCTGAATTTTAAGTGGGGGAATTGTATGATAGGTGAATTGTATGTTAAGACAGCTGTTACCCATTTCCCCATCTCACCGATCCCTGGCAAAAGAAAAACCATGTATACAGTGTCCCCCTGAATCCACATCCAGAGCCCCTCCTGCCACAGAGTACTAAAGTCAGTGAAGGGCGAAGTCTTTTATATGAGATGGTGTCTTATTTGCACGTAACCTACACACACCCTCCTGTATACTCTGAATCATTCCTCGAATATTTCTAACTCCTAATACAATGCAAATGCTATGGAAATAGCTGTTATGGAAATAACAGGTGCACTGTTTTTTATCTATATTTTTGTTGCTGTTCTGTTATTTTTGCTGTGTTTTTTCCTTGAATAGTGTCGATCCATGGTTGGCTGAAGGGGGGCTGACTGTACATACATGGATGGACCTTTCTCTGCCCAAGTAAAGCCTCTTCTGAGAGTCAGTCTGCTGTGTGGAGCGCCCTGTGGTCTTTCTTACATAAGCTGCATCTACAAGACATGGATCAAACAACCCTCTTCTGTGTTTTTAAAGTGGGGCTATAGCTGAAAGGCACTTGTTAAGCAATGTGCGAGTGGACTCCCTCTAGATTTATGTATTTATGTATTTTTTTGAGAAGGAATCTCACTCTGTCACCCATGCGGGTGTGCAATGGCACAATCTCAGCTCACTGCAACCTCCGCTTCCCAGGTTCAAGCCATTCTCCTGCCTAAGCCTCCCAAGTAGCTGGGACTACCAGCATATGCCACTATGTCCGGCTAATTGTTGTATTTTTAGTAGAGACTGGGTTTCACCATGTTGACCAGGCTGGTCTTGAACTCCTGTCCTCAGGTGATCCGCCTGCCTCGGCCTCCCAAAGTGCTGGGATGACAGGCGTGAGCCACCGCGCCTGACTCCTCTGCACTTTTATCAGCATTTATTGCAACCCCCATAGTTGTCTCGCTCACATCTAAATGGACAGCAATATATTCAGCAGCACCGTTTCGCCGAATCTTTCAAAAGCACTTGACTGTTGTCACAGAAACAATTATCTTTTTGCACTCTTATTTCATGGGTTTACACATTACTAGAGTATGTGATTACAACAAACATCACTGGCATAAACTAGTTAGGAATAGCTACAACTGTCCCTTGGAAAGCTTACTGCCCAGCTTCTTGGAGCAGAAATGGTGCAGGCGTGAAATACAGTAGCTTCTAGCAGGATCTGTACTGTGAGCAGCAGGCAGTGTGCTCTGCAGCCATGAGGGAGAACCATGCTTACCTGGCTTGACAGCTCAGCAGAGGCTGGTTCAGAGAGCTACAGGTGTTTGCACAAAGACCTTACCATCACACCATCTGCACCAGCACAACCAAAACCAACACCAGCACCAAAACCAGGAAGCAACTCGAGTATCCACAGATAAAGAGATGACAAGTAGCTGACATCACATAGTAACTGACATTACAGATCCGTGAAGTTTAACATGATCTTTCCACATACTGACCTAGAGGAATGTCCGTGATAGTTTCAGGTTATAAAATTCAACTGCAGAGTAATAGGAATGATGCAATCCCATATTGGCTAAAAAGAAGGAAGAAAGGAAGAAAGGGAAGGAAGGAAGAAGGGAAGGAAGGAGAGAAAGAGGAAGAGAGAGAGAAAAAATGGAAGATAGACTATTTATATACGTTTATTGAAGCATTAAGAAATCGAGAAAAATGGAAGGTTGTGGGGGTGAGGCAGGAGGATCACTTGAGACCAGAGTTCAACAGCAGCCTGGGCAACACAGCAAGACTCTCTCTATAAAATAAAGAAAATAAAATAAAAGAAGGAAGGGAGGGAGGGAGGGAAGGAAGGAAAGAAGAAAAGAAAGAGAGGGGGGAAGGAAGGAAGGGAGGGAGGGAGGGAGGGAGGGAGGAAGGAAAGAGAAGGAAAGAAAGAGAGGGGGGAAGGGAGGGAGGAGGGAAGGGAGGGAGGGAGGAAAGGAAGGAAAGAAGGAAAGAAAGAGAGGGGGGAAGGAAGGAAGGAAGGGAGGGAGGAGGGAAGGGAGGGAGGGAGGGAAGGAAGGAAAGAAAAGGAAAGAGAGAGAGGGGGAAAGGAAGGGAGATGGGAGGGAGGGAAAGATTTACTTCAAAGTGTTAGTGGTGACTGGGGTGGGAGGAGAGAGACTATTAACTTTTTCTTTACATTCTGCTGCATTATTTTACTTGTTTCAGTGATCATATTTTACTTCTTTTATTAAAGTAGATAATGAAATAAAGAAAGTTAAAGAGAGCTTCAGAGGCGTCTTCCTTTCTGGGCTCCATCCCTCAGGGCGTGACCATGACCCTGCTGGGCTTTCCCACTCCTCTAAAAGCACGGTTTGCACAGTCATCCCGGCTCAGGCCTCCAACCCACATGGCAAGAGCTGACCTCCATGTGGCTACCATCAAAACCCATTCCCACAGATAAGCGGACTCATCCCATCAGCAGCAAGTGTGTGCAGCAGGGCACACACTTCAATCTTCTTTGGAGCTGAGGAAATGGGGACCCACAGGCAGTGACGTCTCCAAGATCATGCTGGTCCCACGGGGTGCGGTGGCCACCCACGAGCAGCTCCCTTTTGCCTCCCCCATGACTCTGAAGCCCGGCAGCAGAATCAGGGTCTCATCGGGGGAGCAGAGGCTTGGGCTCCCACCACACCATCATCCAGTGCAAAGCACATGCTGGCAGGAGGTCCGCTATTTCTGCTTCCAAGCCAGGGGTGAGGCAACTTCACCCACAGAGTACTTGGTAATGAAACAACCAGGGCTTCTGAAGGCAGCCACTGTTACCGCAGCCTGCCATTCCTGTGCATGGTATTTTCTGCTGGTAAAGAGCCTCAGCCACTGTGTCTGCAGGCATTGCTGAGACATCCCAGTGACAGACTGATATTCCCTGCACATTTCAAATCTCACAAGGATTAGGGATCCCCAGGCATCCCATGTGTTCCATTTCACAGGTGAGGAAACCGAGGCACAGGTGGGTTCAGCGAGATGCCCAGAATCACCTGCCTCGTAGGCAGAAGAGGTGGGACTCAGACCCGGGCATGCCTGGCTTCGGACCCACAGCTCCAGGCCTGTTCATGCCCCACCCATCACAACTACGAAGTGACTCTGCACACTGCTGTGATCACTATACGCTCTCATATCAAGAATTTACTTTATTCTTATTTAGTTGGTAATTTTCATTTTAATGCATAAAACCAGGAGAATGCAAACTTTCCACCTTTACATGCCTTCAGTTCTGCAAGTTTGGTGAAACTGATGTGATATTTACAGATCAATAGTCAAATCTGCTGAGGTGAGGAGAAGCCCCAGGTATTTAACCTTTCCTTTACAGAACACGCTGGAGAAAATTGCCAACATGAGTCCCCGACGAACAAGGGCAGAAGTTCATGGCTACTGAAGAACTGCTTAATTAGATGCCTTTCAGAAAACTGTAGCCTCCCAGAAAGGGCAGCCTGGCTGTGACAGCTGTGTGGATATACACCAGGGGGGAGAGACTCCCGTGGCATGCAATTAGGACCAATGAATTTTTAACGTCTTGGTAATGATGCTCTCTGGCCCTGTATCTTGATCAACTGATGTTGACTGCCACAGGGTGAATGACAATATAAAAAGCCTTCTATAAGAACAAGCTGCCTTTTCCTGCGTAAGATGCATAAAACATTGCATGGGCAGCAGGGTAGGTCTCAAAGGGGCAAACTGAGAGACAGAGACAGAGGCAGAAAGACAGAAAGACAGAAAGACACAGACAGACAGACAGACACAGACACCGCACACGCACACGCACACGCACGCAGATATTCCTACTCTGACCATGGAAGAATAGTATCTTCTGATCAATTTCTCTTTATTGTACTCAATAGCACTCTGAGTGTTATGGCTGTGCTCCATTCACATTGAAACAGGAAGAGCCTTCAATAACCCACATATTATAACATACGTTAGTGAACCATGCTCCTGGCCTCCTTGCTGCCCCTGGGAGCAGCAGGTCTTCCTGTGTACGACCCTGGGCAGAGGGCCAAATGATGGCCAGTGACTGTCCGCTGGAGTATGAGCTCAGGGTTCATTAGCAAATTAAAAATGCACAGGTTAGCAGTTTTCCAACGAGAAAAGAACTGATCTTCTAACATCCCTAAACGGCCTGGATTAAAAGAGAATTCTGAAGCCAGAGGAAGACACCTTGCTTTGGAGGTGCTGGGTCCAGGGGATGTCCAGGGCTGCAGGAATTTTCACTACATTACTCAAGGGCACACACCATGGGTCATCCTAGAGAACATGACAGTGGCAGAACTCTGTCACTATGGAGCTCCAACACCACCTAAAATACACACATCAGCAGCACCACACGTGCAGATGCTTGATCTTCCAGAGGGCAACACAAGATGATCTCCAGGTGCCATGGACTGTCAGGGGCCATCATCCTCACTGCATTGGGCTGAAGCCAGAAGCGTCCACTCCTACAAGCATTTCAAACTGGGTAGAGGAGGAGGGGATCAGGCCACTTACCATCTGCAGGACGTCGGAGGAGACCATCTGCATACAGCACATGGCTGTGGCCAGCGCACATACGATGGTGGACAGCACGTTGAGGGCGCACACGCTGAAGAGGAGATCCTGTGAGGAAAGGTGCAGGAGAATGTCAGCCTCATCCCCAAGTCCCAGATGGCAGAACCTTTAGCCCTCCTGCTAGGACCCAGAATGAGCCAGGCTGACTGCCATCTACTTCACAGAGGTTTTGTTTTGTGTGTCTGTGTTTTCTCATAATCTGAATTGGCCTTTCACATTCGTTGATTCCTTTACAGTGCTGATCAAATGGTTCATAATATTCCTGATGTGCTTTACAATCTTGATAATTACTAGGTAGGCAGTAACATGTCTAAGAAAATCCTAAGTAAGATGAGGTGGGCAATTTTTATCAATCACAACCTGTAACTCAAGTGAAACTTTTTATCTTGAGATAATTGTATATTGACATGCAATTGTAAGAAACCCTACAGAGAGATACTGGGTACCCTTCGCTTGTTTTCTCTCAGTGGTAACATTTGGCAAATCTGTAGTTCAGTATCACAGCCAGGATACTGACACTGGTACAGTCAGGATGAAGAAAAGTCCCATCACCACACAGGTCCCCCCAGTGCTGACCTTTCATAGACACACTCACCTCTTTCCCTGCTCCCCACTCAACCCCCAGTTCCAATCCCCTGTCAATCACTAGTCTGTTCCCCATGTTTTATAATTTTGTCCTTTCAAGAATGTTGCATACGTGGACTGCACAGCATGTAACCTTTCAGAACTGGCTTTTTCCACTAGCGTAATTCCCTTTAGACTCATCCAGGTTGTTTCATGTATCAGTAGTTCATTTCTTTTTATTGCTGAGTAATAATCCACAGTATGCATGTACCACATTGGTTTAATCCTCAACAACTGAAGAATATCTGGGTTTTTGGTATTGCAGTTTTCCAGTGCTGGGCTATTACAGATAAAGCTGCCGTGAACCTTTGTGTACAGGCTTTTGTGTGAACATAAATTTTTATTTATCCAAGATAAATATCCCAGAGTATGACTGCTGATTTGTATAGTAATTGCATGTTTAGTTTTATTTTAAAAACTGCAAAAATGCCTTCCAGAGTGTTTGAACCATTTTTAATTCCCACCAGCCATGTATGAGTGATCAAGTTTCTCTGTATGGTTGCCAACATGTGCTGTCACTGTTCGCATTTCAGCTGTTCTCAAAAGTGCATAATGATACCCCTTTATAAAAGATTTTCATTTGTATTTCCCTGATGCTAACGATGTCAAAAATCTTTTTATGTGCTTATTTGCCATCTGGAGATCCTCTCTGGTCAAATGTCTGTTCGTGCCCTTTGCCCATTTTCTATTTGTAATTTTTTTTTAAAGTGTTGAGTTACGAGAGTTCTTTATGTATTCTAGGTACTAGTCCTTTGTCAGAGAGGTGGTTTGCAAATATTTTCCCCCAGACTGTAGCTTGTCTTTTCATGTTTCATACAGAGTCGGAGTCAGCTGAGGCTGCTATTACAAAAATGCCATAGACCGGGGGGCTCTAACAACAAACGGTCATTTCTCGCAGTTCTGAAGTCTAGAAGTCTGAGATCAGGGTGCCAGCCTGCTGGATTCTGTCTGGTAAGGGCCTGCTTTCTGGCTGCAGATGGCTGATGTCTCGCTGTGTCCTTGCTTAGTGAAAAGACGGCAAGGGAGATTCTTAAGTATGTATTTTATATATCTAAGGAGGGCAATTCAAAGTTATACCTAAAATAGCAAGGTCTCTCTCTTTTTTTTTTTTTTTTTTTGAGAGGGCATCTCATTCGGTCGCCCAGGCTGGAGTGCAGTGGCATGATCTCGGCTCACTGCAACCTCCATCTCCCAAATTCGAGTGATTCTTCTGCCTCAGCCTCCTGAGTAGCTGAAATTACAGGTGCCTGCCACCACATCCAGCTAATTCTCGTATTTTTGGTAGAGACAGGGTTTCACTGTGTTAGTCAGGCTGATTTAAAACTCCCAACCTCAGGTGATCCACCCACCTCAGCCTCCCAAAGTGCTGAGATTACAGACGTGAGCTACCTTGCCCAGCCAATAGCCACATCTCGTAATGTACCATTGCTAAAATATAAACGATACCTTTACTTTGTCCTCAATCTAGAAATTTCATTTTTATTGACCACGTAGTCCACTGTCATTTGAATGAATGCCCTTCTAAAAGCAATATTAATTTTATACATGCTACCAAATGAAACTACTTGCAGAGACAACTCTGACCTTTGTTTCCACACGCATCACGAGGCAGCCGTGCTTTGTCTCATAAAACCTATTCATCTGAAACACATGTCAGAAAGACTTTTCCCCTCCAGCTGTTTAAATGCGTGCTGTTTTTCTAAGTAATCGCATGCCACCTGGTATTGTGTTTGTGTTTCTTCAGAATTCTTTTCTGGCTTAAATAATGCCTTTATCTCTGCTTTTTAATTTTTTTTATTTTTAGAGGGATCTCACTCTGTCCCCCAGGCTATGCCTCAGTCTCCCAAGTAGCCAAACTACAGGCACACACCACCACTCTTGTCTAATTTTTGAATTTCTTTTTTGGAGATCAGTAGTTTCACCATGTTGGCCAGGCTATCTCTGCTTTTTGACAGCTTTATCAGAGTCCTTTATCAACACTGAAATCGATATTCTATAAAATCCCTTTATGGCTGGGCACAGTGACTCACGCATGCAATCCTAGTACTTTAGGAGGCTGAGGCAGGTAGATCACAAGGTCAGGAGTTCAAGACCAGCCTGGGCAAGATGGTGAAACCCCATCTCTACTAAAAATACAAAAATTAGCCCAGTGCAGTGGCAGGCACCTGTAATCCCAGCTACTTGAGAGGCTGAGGCAGAAGAATCGCTTGAACCCGAGGGTTGGAGGTTGCAGTGAGCCGAGATCGCGCCACTGCACTCTAGCCTGGGCAAGAGTGCGACTCCCCCGCAAAAAACAGGTCACTCAAAATGGCAAATGTGTAAAGAAGGCAGGTCTTTCATTGCTGATACTGAGTTTTGCTGCTGGACATTCTGATGTTATTAGCATTTTGATGATATCAGTGCTAATAAAGTGAAGGAAGTTATGTATATAATAAACCACGTATAGAAAAAACGCAAGAGAAAAAAACAGTTTTAGATACTTAGGCAAAGGTACAAATAATAATTTTTAAAATCTCTCCATTTCAAATAAATTATGGATATTAATAATACAATTAACAGAGAAAGGCGACAGCCATGACAACTTACATATGCCTACATGTTAAGAACATTAAGAGTTCAGGATATTAAGCCAGTCTGTGGTGGCTCATACCTATAATCCCAGCACTTTGGGAGGGTGAGGCTGGCAGATCACCTGAGGTCAGGAGTTCAAGACCAGCCTGACCAACATGGTGAAACCCTGTCTCTACTAAAAATACAAAAATTAGCCGGGCGTGGTGGCAGGCACCTATAATCCCAGCTACTCAGGAGGCTGAGGCAGGAGAATCACTTGAACCTGGAAGGCAGAAGTTGTAGTGAGCCGAGATCACTTCGCCGTACTCCAGTCTGGGCGACAGAGTGACTCCATCTCAGAAAAAAAAAAAGGAAAAAGAAAAAAAAGAATTCAGAATACTGACACCTTTGCTTGCTGGACAAAATGAGGACAAACTCTCTTACGTTTATTTCTGCTAGTTCATTCATGAGTTTTTTTTCCCCTAAGTTGTCTTCTCTCTTAGCATAAAGAAAGAGGTCCCGCTTTTTCGCAACGGGTTTGCCGCCGGAACATAGGTGTCGTGAAAACTACCCCTAAAAGCCAAAATGGGAAAGGAAAAGACTCATATCAACATTGTCGTCATTGGACACGTAGATTCGGGCAAGTCCACCACTACTGGCCATCTAATCTACAAATGCGGTGGCATTGACAAAAGAACCGTTGAAAAATTTGAAAAGGAGGCTGCTGAGATGGGAAAGGGCTCCTTCAAGTATGCCTGGGTCTTGGATAAACTGAAAGCCGAGCGTGAACGAGGTATCACCATTGATATCTCCTTGTGGAAATTCGAGACCAGCAAGTACTACGTGACTATCATCGATGCCCCAGGACATAGAGACTTCATCAAAAACATGATTACAGGGACATCTCAGGCTGACTGTGCTGTCCTGATTGTCGCTGCTGGTGTTGGTGAATTCGAAGCTGGTATCTCCAAGAACGGGCAAACCCGAGAGCATGCCCTCCTGGCTTACACACTAGGTGTGAAACAACTAATTGTTGGTGTTAACAAAATGGATTCCACTGAGCCACCCTACAGCCAGAAGAGATATGAGGAAATCGTTAAGGAAGTCAGCACTTACATTAAGAAAATTGGCTACAACCCTGACACAGTAGCATTTGTGCCAATTTCTGGCTGGAATGGTGACAACATGCTGGAGCCAAGTGCTAACATGCCTTGGTTCAAGGGTTGGAAAGTGACCCGTAAGGATGGCAATGCCAGCGGGACTACACTGCTTGAGGCTCTGGACTGCATCCTACCACCAACGCGTCCAACTGACAAGCCCTTGCGTCTGCCTCTCCAGGATGTCTATAAAATTGGTGGTATTGGTACTGTTCCTGTTGGTCGAGTGGAGACTGGTGTTCTCAAACCTGGTATGGTGGTCACCTTTGCTCCAGTCAACGTTACAACTGAAGTGAAATCTGTTGAAATGCACCATGAAGCTTTGAGTGAAGCTCTTCCTGGGGACAATGTGGGCTTCAATGTCAAGAATGTGTCTGTCAAGGATGTTCGTCGTGGGAACGTTGCTGGTGACAGCAAGAACGACCCACCAATGGAAGCAGCTGGCTTCACTGCTCAGGTGATTATCCTGAACCATCCAGGCCAAATCAGTGCTGGCTATGCCCCTGTACTGGATTGCCACACGGCTCATATTGCATGCAAGTTTGCTGAGCTGAAGGAAAAGATTGATCGCCGTTCTGGCAAAAAGCTGGAAGATGGCCCTAAGTTCTTGAAGTCTGGTGATGCTGCCATCGTTGATATGGTTCCTGGCAAGCCCATGTGTGTTGAGAGCTTTTCAGACTACCCACCTCTTGGTCGCTTTGCTGTTCGTGATATGAG